GGCCAAGTATTAGTTTTGGAACTAATTTCCCCTGAATTACTTTTCAAGATTTGAGCTAAAAACAATACTGTGGCCGAATTTAAAGAATTTGAGCCACGGTTTAAATTTAAGCCGCGGCTTAATTATGGTTGGTTTCACTTAAAATTGTATCAAATGTTTCAAGATTTATGCCGGCGCTCAATTTAAACCGGGTTTTGGCGGATTTAAGCCGTGACTTAAATTTTTTTTAATTCGGCCTCTGTTTCTTTTATACAAAATAGAGCTGTGATAGTGAGTTAAAACAAAGTATAAGTTCAAAGATGACTTTCATCTTAATATTTGATCCACAACTTTTTAAAGCTGTCTGGTTTTGAGACTTTATCAGCCCTTATATCTTACTCACCCTGGACTAACCAGAGCAAGATATGTTTTTTTATTTGAATTTATTAATTTTAATAATCTTTAAACTTCCGGAGAATTGTGAATTTTTGCATTTTTATATGATACGCTTAGGCCGACAAAAAAAAATGAAGCAAGAAAGCAACAAAATTAAGTTTTATAGGTACTTCAAAGTATATAATCAAAAGTCACAACTTGATGGTAAACGGACCGGATTGTGATTGTGATTGCTTAATTTCTGAAATACAACTTTGTAATATAGATATATGTTGCATTGAATGTAAATCTGCATTTATGTTTATTTAAGCTAAATTTTTTTTTTAAACACAAATTTTTCCAAATATTTGATCAATTTTCTGGACTGATGCATTTTAAGTACAGGAGGGGGGGGGATTGTAACAAGGGGAGGGAGAGAAGGTTCAGGGGTAGGACCAGAAGGTTTAAGAGGGGGGTTGGGGTTGGCACACTGTTCAGCGCTCGCTTGAGAAGAATTGAAGGGGTCAGTGTCTATTTTGATCTGAAGAAGTAATAAATCCAAGAACTAGTGCATGCAGAGAATTTGAAGTTTGTGATTACATTACGTACCTACGTACATACGTAGATATGTACATACATACATACGTGCATACGTATATACGTACATACGTACATACGTACATACGTACATACGTACATACGTACATACGTACATACGTACATACGTACATACGTACATACGTACATACGTACATACGTACATGCGTACATACGTACATACGTACATACATACATACGTACATACGTACACATGTATAACACTATCACGATTCACGACAAGATAAAGTAAATTGCATTGCATTTGCAGGTAACAATGTAAAGAAGAAACATATTTTGTAATCGGATACATTTTTATTTCCAAAAATTGAAAGTAAAATCGAAACTAAGGAGCTACTAGGTCACAAAGTCGTATCAGTAATATCACTTGTATCCTATCCTTCAGTCTAGCTCTAGCTCTAGAAAGCAATAATCGCTGCTATTGACCTTCTTAACTACCTTTCCCTGTTAAATATTTTTTTTGTAAACTCCTACTTACTCGTTAATTTATTTCAAGTTAAATCGGAAACCAGATTACTTTAAATAAATTTCATTCTATCTATATTTGATCTATGAAGGCAAAAGACATCTTCAATCTNAAGTACAATATGCAGTATACATTGTTGATACTATAGTACGCATTTAGTGTTATCACGCATAAACAAAGTGATAAATTAGCAACAATCCAGAGGATAAAATGCCATGCGTACGACAGGAACGACAGAGATGGTGCTGTTTGCACCTTTTCTCAAGACCTCAAAATTTATACCTGCCTGCATATCTATATATATATTATCTTTGGGTTTAATTAAGGATCAAGTCTTTTTTTCAAATCGAGGATCCCCTTTAATCTGTTTTTTAATGTTTAGGTTTAGCTTGATGGATTTCCAAAACCGTTAATTTTTTTCTTGGAATTTTTTTGGACCAAATTAGGACCAAAAATATCGGCCCGATCAGTTTAGTCGTTTTGTCGTTTATCGGATACAAACAAACAAACACTCGTTCACTAAAGGCATCATATGTACGGAAGAAAATTCGTATAGTATATATAGGTTGACAATCCATTTGGTATAGTTTAAATGACCGGTATGGGGGGGAGGGAATGACTATAGTTTTCTTTAGAATTGTCATGTATAACTTAATAATCTATGCTAAAATAAACGATATACATATGTTCTATATATTTATGTGTTTGTCTTGTATATCCTGCTATTCCATGGTTTGATCTGGGTTTCTGTTTCCAATATGTATAAATATATAGAGAGAGACATATTTGAAATATAAAATCTGGAGTTGTCGAATATTTAGAATTTGTCAACATTTACTGTGAAATATTGACTAAACTGCAATACAACCATACAATACAATATCTATATTAAATCTATGTATTAAAGGGACTGTCTATGTAATTAAGACCCGAATTCACAACAAGACCCTTTATAATATTTGTCTGCGCAAAAAAGTTACGGCAAAATTACCGTTATTCTATCTGCAGCAGAGACAATGAAGGATATTGTACCAATGCAGACACCCCTGTCAATGTAACTCAGATAAAGTATTAAAGGACAACATTTCAATCAGGTATGCAATTTTTAAATTGAAGGTTGACACTTTAATTTATTTGGATAGTCCCTTTATTCCCTTTAATCCTATTAATCCCTTTAATCCCTTTAATCCTATACCTGCCTAATCCAAACACAAAGATTATTGTAAAATAATTGTTTTTCTTCTAGTATAAAAACTAGAGAGGGGTCTTTGGCTGGGAGACCTTCCGACGCTAAGGAACGGCATGTATTGAAAAATAACGGACGAGTTCGTTAACGATTGGCAAACCCCATTAATTTAGAAATCGTTAACGAACGGAAATAGCCGTTATGCATAAAAAAATTTCGGATTCATTTTTCGCGAACACTCCCTTTAACATCGTTAGCGATTTCTACAATATCTTCGTTAAAGCTGTTAATAAAATTGAGATCGTTAACGAACAGTAAACTAGAGAAAAGGCGAAAAATATTGTTAGGAAACAAAACATTCAGTTCTTAGCTGAAGAACAAAAGCTACCAGAAAAGTCTTTTTTTAAACGATTTTAACTAACTCTTACAGAACAGCTTTAAAAAATCTGTAAAGGTGCCCAGCCCCAAAGAAGGCTGGATGTATAAACTTGTTTATGGCTGTAACTCAATCAACAGAAAGTATTTTGTGTAAAATTGTTCCAATCTTATCCAATGAAGAAGAAAATTGATGTATTTTAGAGTTTGCAACTATTGTGAATTATTTCAAACTCTGCTCAAACAAATCATAAAGACAATACTATAACCTTGTAGACTTAAAAATAGGAGCTGTTATATTATCCAATCTTTATATGTAAAATTCTTTAATGCCAGTCTAATTCGAACAATTAAAAAAAATTCATCATTTTGATTGATATGACCTATTAACCTTTTATGTAACATATTTTTAATTTGAATTACAAACTCAAATTTCTTTAGAGAAACATGTTCCACATTGCAAGAGATTTTACCAAAAATTTAGTTTTTCTAATTCTAATTCCAAGGACAGAAGGAGAAAGTTAATTTATGCCACATTATAGGGAAGACGTTGTGCGGGAAAACGGCGGGAGTGACTTTTAATAACCAGCGCTGCCAGCGCTGGGTTCCCAAGCTAGTTTTCATATAAAGTATCAACATGAACAATACGTTCTGTGTACTGCAGTAATATTCAGTACATTGAGGAAACAGTGGGATGTATTGAAGAGTGGTTTCTAAATTAAAATTTAGACTTACTTAAAAAAAATGAATATAATGAATATAATTCAATTAATCAGTAGAAAAGTTTTCAAACAATATTTTCTAGAAAACATAAAATTTGGAACCCCGGTCGATTCTGCCGTTTTGACGTTTACAGGATACAAACAAACAAACGAACAAGTAAACAGGCAAGCAAAGTATCTCTAAATTTTAAAGAAATTGATTGCAAAATGTTTTTAAAATAAGATTTTTAAAATATGAAACCGAATAATGAAGTATGTACATTGTACAGCCTAACCATCATGTTGATATTTTTTAGAAAACAATAATTTTTATAAAATAGTTGTGATTTGCCTTCATCTGTATGTTCCTTAATGATAGATCAGCCACAGTATAGATTTTATGCTCACTGAATATACATACACCAACATACACATAGAAGATTACTGGTTTTCTTATTTTTTTTAAAATACGGATTTAAAGGAAAACTGAAGTTAAGTGGATTTTATAAGATAAGATTCTTCTAATACAGATAAAAGAATAAGAGAATTAAGAAGATTAAGAGAATTTAAAAGAAGAGAATTAAGAAGATTAAGAGAATTAAAAAGATTAAGAGAATTAAGAAGAAGAGAATTAAAAAGATTAAGAGAATTAAGAAGAAGAGAATTAAAAAGATTAAGAGAATTAAACAAGGAGAAAACCACGACTAAACATTCTTCACATACTTTTCTAAATATAAAACTAGATAATCACCCCAAACAAAAACATGAAAATTTGAATTTTATTTATTTTAAAAATTTCTATTTTGTGGTTTGTCAGATGGTTTCTCCATCTGATTTCTGGATCATTAGCTGGCTGTCTTTCTGTCTTCTAGTTAGTTTATACAGTTGGTTCGCCCGCACAGGGAACTAAGTGCAGGATTATTGTTCAAAATATTATTATTTAGTCAGAATTCAATTCTAAAATACCGCAAAAGAAAAATCAGAGCATCAGTGTTCACTTTTACAAACACCTAAAATAAATTTTGAAAAAACCTTCGGGTCGTTTCACTGTCATGTTTCTTTCTTTTGTAAATCTTAAATTTGAAACCATACGAGGATTTGCATGAAAAATATTTCAATTATTATATCTATAATATCTAAATATAACAAATTTTATAGAATTTATAGATTTTATAGAGTAGAAATCTCTGTTTGTTTGTTTCAATGTTTGTTCGTGTGTCCGATCATAACTCATGAACTCCTTGACCGATTTGTCTCAAATTTTGCTGGATTCCTCAGCTTGTCTAAGATATTTTAGGTTCCTAATTTGATAATCTGATCCAGATAAAATGAAATTGAAGTATTTGGCTCTCACTGTGTTTATATCTGTTCAGGTTGGAAAAGTTTACATTGCTTTTTTTCTGAATTCACACCGATCCATGCTTTCTTAAGCATTATTTGTCAAAAAGTAATGATAGAGGTTAAAGTTTTAATCTTTAATTTCTTATTGGTCATTTGTCAAAACCTACTGCAAATAAACCCAAAAAATGTGCAAATTGACTTTAAGGGAAGTGTAAGCAAAAAAAATAGTTTTTTGTTTGTGAATTTGCGATTTTGTTTCTTTTTGTTATAGGGCTTTCCAACGGGCTAAAACTTGTAAAAATCCAACAACCGGAAGTGTAAAGTGGGAGCAAGTAAAATAATTTTTGGCAATACATTTTTAATTATTAAAAAACAACGGGATTAAAAAACCAATAACTGTTATCTTTTAATAACCGTTTTTTTTCTAGGGATTACTAGGACAAAATCTTGAAGATATTGCGAAGGATTTAAAGATTTTTCAAACAGATGATATTTATCCAACTTCACAATTTTCTACGAAGGTAAAACAAATTGCAACTTTTCTTTTAAAAGTTTTTTTTTATAAACCATTCCACAATGGGCCAGTATTTGGAAAAAATGCCAAGACTGCTTACAGCTAAAATATATTCATTCTTATGAGGGGTTTCGGGCGCAAAAAAATCATTTTTAGTGTTATATTTTCTCTATGAGTGGTCATGACCACCTAGGTGGTCATGAATGGTGGTCAAGGGTGGTCATAAGAAGTAAATAAAGGGTATAACACGTGATACTTCTAACTATAGGTAATCATGCCGGCGGGATAACTGAAATAAACAGATTCAGCACTTTTAAAAATAAAAAGAACAATATCTTCTTCATTCTTTCTCATGTTTAAAGTTTACCGTTTTTAATTGATAAATGAATTAATAATGGAGGGTCGGGTCACCTGAAATTTCGTCTTCAGCCCGGTTTATAATATATTCAGGCGAAGGTAGAGAATGGAAAATGGAAATCTAAGAAACCAACGGAAATAGAGAAAAAGTTCAGGTTAGCTTTTGTCATACAGTGAAACCCTTAATAACGAATACATCGGAAGAATTTATCAAATGTCGTCTTGACAATTTTCCAATGAGTTTTATACTATATTACGTAAATTTCAGTATTTGGTAAAATAAAAAAATAGCCATGAATATGCAGGAACAGTTTTAAAGATTTCCATATAATCATGCAATTAAAAAACTAAATATCTGCAGTACTTTACACATATTTCTCAAAAGTTCTGAATATTTGAACAGGGTGTTCCACGAAGCATGACAGTTGGAGAATGGTTTTGAATGTCTTCTTCTATATATTATATTAGATATTAAAGACTTTTTTGCAGTGTATTTAATTAACAAAATCTTTAACTCGTTTATATTTTACTTAATAATTAATTTTACCATAAAATGACTACCATGCTATAATTCTTATTAATGATAATTAATCTCGTTTGTATCAAAGAATTTAACAAATTATGAAAGAAGACATTAAAAACTATTCACCAACTTCCATGTTTCGTGGGACACCCTGTATGTCCAATGAGGCTTTTAAAATAAAAAAAAACAGTTTTACTGCGATTTCTGGAATGTAAATTAAAATATTCATTAAAGGAAAAATGAAATTGGGTATAGGCAGAAACCTTAGCATTTTAGGAGTTGATCGAGACCCATGAGAGTTCTATCTGATGTTCCTGTCTCGAGAAATTAATATAAAACTGTGCCATATACGAAAACCTATACATAAAATTTTATAAAAAATAGTAGGTTAAAAAAACATATTCAGCAAATACGCAACCAATCTGAAAACAAAGATATCCCAAGGAAGCTTAAGTAACTCAGGTTTGATCCTATTTATATTTGAATTAAAAAGTTTTAAATTTTTAATAGATATGATTGATAATATAATAAATACTCCCGTATCACGTGACCAATGGCGGTGCAGTATACTTGTTTCTGATTCAAAGGTTTGAATGAGAAAGGCCTCACATTAATGGAGGGTAACATTAGTTTATTTACCATGGACAAAGGGATAACATATATCACATAAATCTAAAAAAGAAAATGGAGCAGTACAAATACCCACTCTGCGCTTTATATGTTTTCAAACAGGGTTACCCACAAAGAGACTTCAGAGACGACTGTGCAGAATTTGTTTAATATTTTTGGTTGTATAAATTGTTACTTTCAACTTTATTTTGTATTCGTTTTTTTTGTCAAATTATTGATGAATGAGCTTTCCCTTAAATAATATTATTAAAGGAAGGCCGAGAATCTAATTCATCCTTTATTATAAAGTTGTAATCTCTGTTTGTCTGTTTGTTTTTTTGTATGTCCGATCATAGCTCAAGATCCGACTTTCATTACAAAAATGTTGTTTCCCGTTAAATTTGACCATGTCCGGGTAAACGGCGGGAGTAACTATGAGTAACCTGGGCAACGCTGGGTTCCCAAACTAGCCCTTAACAATTTTTTAAGTCGGCATTAAAGACTCATCCTTTTTGAGTAAACCTGTTTATGTTTACTAGGATACTGGAGAGAGAAAAAGAGGAGGAAGACAGGATAAAGAAGGAGGAAGAGGAGAAGAAGAAGAAACTAGATACAGGGAAGAAGAAGAAGAATATGTCTATCAAGGATAAATCCAAAATAAAGAAATCGGATGATACTTATCTCAAAGACGAGGTAAGAAACTAAAGTACATATATACATTTTTATTACCAACAAAAATATAATTAATATGTTTAGGTTTTGATATTTTTTTACACCAGCTGATTTATGCAGTTATGACAACGTACAATTTAAGCGTTAAAGTCTGAAAGTCGCCATTCTTAATCCTCCTAAAATGTTCGCGAATTCTTCTGTTTAAATGACACAAATGTGCAAATGACACAAATGTGCATTTTAAAAAATGATAAATTTTAACATTTTTTCCGGGTTAAAGTTTTTCCACTTCGAGCGAAGAGCCATGAAGAGCCATAACTATTTTAATGACGCATGTTGTTATTGATTAGTTGATGACTATACAATTGTTTCTAGAAAGGTCAGCTGTGTCAATCAATGTCTGAAGACTCTGTAAAGGATACACTCTTGAAGGTAGAAAATAAAAAATGGCTGACACACTTTTTTGCAAAATGGAACGAAATGATGATATGTTTTTTGGATTTTAAAATAGCTGACACGTTGAGCGGGAATATGATTTGTCAGACATACTTTAAGGAAAATGAAATGGATGACGTACTTTCCGGAAAATAAAATGGATGACGTACATTCCGGAAAATAAAATGGCTAAAATACTTTTAGGAAGATAAAATGGTTGACATATTTAAAAAAAATGGCCGTACTTCTTAGGAAATATGAAATTGGTTGACAAACTTTAAGGGGAAAAAATACCTTTATACTTTAAGGACAACATACATGACGTACTTTCGGAAAACAAAATGGCCTTCATGAAAAGCAGTAAAAAGAGGACTACTAAGAAAATCCGCAATTATATCAAATCAACAAAAACAACTTTTAAAAGATCAAAGTCAAGTAAAGCCTCTTTTTTTAAGTATGATATTATGATTTAGTTTGGTTTGGTTACCCATATTATTCCAGAGGTTGAAAAATTCAGGTAAATATCTAACAATATTATCTGATACATTTTAGAAATATCAAACCATTTATGCATTACAAAAATTGTAACAAATTATTAATTGAAAAGATTAAGATAATATTAATAAAAAAAGATATTTATAACTTAAAAAATTCATTTTATTTGACACAAAATTCTCAAAAAAATTAGAATTTTTAATATGCAACCTAATGAATTTAATTTTTCTTACTTGGGCCGTGGGCGTAAAATCACAACCTACTTGTTAAACCATTTTATGTGAATAGTTTTGAATAGTTCAATGAACATGGCACACAGTAATTGTACAGTAATTGTACTGTACATAGACCCATTTCGCTAAATACTGAGGAATAGAAAGACGACGGATAGACCAAAGTTATAGTTTTGAAGAGTTCAAATAACATGGCACACAGTATTTGTACAGTAATTGTACTGTACATATACCAATTTCGCTAAATAAGTTAATTTCCTAGTGGCTTAAAACAATTTGCTTAAAACACAAACAGTTGCTTAAATATCGTTCTCTATTTCTTTGTCGTATGAGTTCTACAGCCACGGTTGTGTACTTTTTAATGCATTTTATATGACTAGGTCACAGTGATTCAAAGGCCGCAATCTCTCTGCGAAGATTAATGAGAATTTCGAGAAGAGCTGCTTTAAAACTAAATCCTAAAACATGTGCTTTCGAGTTCTAAGATGTACAATACATTGTACAATGTACATGTCTTGGGCTAATAGAGAGTTAATGCAATAAAATCAAAGGTGTTGCGACACTTATAAGTCGATCTAGTCTTGTAAATTGATCCAATTTTTCTAATTTTTCCAAGGATTTTGGATATATGAAGTATTTACCAGGTTTTATTGTTTTAGGAGTTCAATAAAACTTCTAAAAGATTCTCTCCCGCAGAAAAAGAAAAGAAAAGAGAATAGATCATCTGCTAAAAAAGACAAGGCAAGTTTATGTGATTTTATCCCCCCCTCCCCCCCTTCCTTTCTAATATAGGATGTCTCAATAAATCTTAAAATTTAAGTATATCCAAAATACCATAAAGTGATTTGATCGGAAAAACTTAATGATTTCTAAACAATTACTCCACAATATTACATTCTCAGTTCAACGACCAGACATTGCCGGTCACTCCCTTTAAATTTCAGAGAATAAAGAGCGCTGTTTATTTTTTGGTAATTATTTTGTCACAACTTCTTGCCCTAAAAAAGTGGCCTACAGTTCTATCGCTAACAAAGAAAATTCACGTTTTTTTCATGAAACTTTGCAGATCAGGATGTTATTTTTTTATTGTCCAAAGGGACTTTAAACAAAGTTCTCTATCTATCCATTTTATTTCTATGGAATGTATCATGTGTCTGTAAACAAACACGCGTCCATATATGGTATATGAAATCTCAGAAATTTTATCAATCCTATATCTATTCTATAATATACATATATTATGTATATATATATATAAGAAGAAACAGAGAAATTACTATTCATATATAGGAATATGTATATTTCAGTTTTTAACTTCACGTTTTTTATTAAAAAAGAAAAAAAAAATTTATTAAGAAAGAATATAAATATGTATATGAATAGTAATTTCTCTGTTTCTTTGTTTGAATGTCTGATCATGACTCTTGAACCCTCAGACCAATTTCACTAAAGACTGAGGAACTCTTTAAAACCACAGCTCAGGAACCTTCTTTGTTTTTGGTTTAAATATTTTAGTTTAGTTTGAACTGAGTTAAGAATGTCTGGGTCATGCATATTACGAGACTTCAGATTTTTCTTTTCACAATTACATTTTGAAGATAGGCCATGAAATCTTACAAATAAAACAATTCTTAAAACCAAAAATTATAAAAACTATTTTGTTTTTCAAACTTATACACAATGCAGTTTATATAGAATAGAATAGAAAAATGTTTGTTTAGCTTGGAGTTCTAAAGGATGGTACAACTGTCAAACTGACCCAATCAAACTTTGTTGGAAGATCTTTCAGTCTTGCTTCACTTCTAAACCCAATGGTAAATAAACAAATATTTCAAATATATTTTCCAGCTTTAAATATACCTCAATATCCTTTGAACTCGATGTTGTAAACCTTTGATATTTCAAACTCAGATTATTTGATCTAACAAAATTCATAATTTGAAATATCTAAGGTCTGCAACATTTGGTTCCAAAGATATAGTGATTAGAAAATCAGAGTTTGTGGCAAAGACTCAATTCCTTTGGAAATTATTGATATTTCCTGACATTTATTTTAGAATATTATTCAAATCTGGATTCCAGAGGTGGAGGGGGGGGGGGGGTCGGGGGAGATTAAAGAGTACAAACTTTAAAATTTAAGAAAAAAACTAGAACAAGATGTTTTATTTTGCAAAATTGAAAATTTAATTTGAATTTATTTTAGCTACTTATTTTGATATGTATTTGATAGGTTTACCGGTTCTCTCTGTACACATTATCCAGAGACGTTTTTAAATTTATTTCATTGTGAATATCCTTGTATACTTTCTAGCGTGATGATTTGGCTGAGATCTATGAGGATGGAGATAATAATGTTGTAAAAAGAAGAGAAGAAAGAAGAGGACGAGATAAAAGGACTCCAGAAGGTAGCAACAACATTTAGTTATTTTCTAAAGAACGCTCCTATCAAATTTAAACATCAATATACACATGTTCAAAGTTTGATATGTGGCCGCATCTCTCGGCCTCCGAGCCTATCCTAGCCGCAGCCCTCAGCCCCCCAACCTTACCTAGCCGTAACACTTTGCCCAAAAATTGTCTTAACCAAGCCTAACCCAAGCCTATTTTGTTAAAAATAGTTGTCATGTCCAAATTTGATAGGAGGACAGAGGGGGGTGGGGTGGGGTACAAAAAGCGGTCTCTAGGACAGACCCAAAAATTTAATTTAGAATTGCTTCCGTTAGTTAGATATTACAGACAAAATATTAGGTTTTATTTTATCAGGTCGAGTCCTAATAAATGAATCAAGTTACATTGTTAATTCGCCTTAATTTACAGTGATAACCAAAAAGCTGTAGAATAGGAAGACACATTTTATTCTGAAAGTTTAACTTTGAATAGTCAAATGAACATAAAACACGGCGATTGTGAAGTGTAAACAGACCCATTTCACGCAATAAGTGAATTAATAAGCTACGAGTGAAACTATTTGCCTTGTACCAACATCGAAAACACTTAATTATTGCTTTAATGTCGTCTTCCTATTCTACATTCATTCTTACTAAAAAACGGTTTGTTATAATGTTTAATGAAACTTCGATATTTTTATTCAGAAAGAACTTCTTATTCAATTTTATTTGTTTGTACAGTACAGAGAGGGACCCATAAAACTGTGAAAAGGAAAGACGACTGAAAGATGCATTTGAGACACAGCAATTGATTAATTGATTCATAGACCCACTTTACTCACAGGGACTGTAAGCGTAATTTCAAGTAACCCTCCATGCAAAGATGGCTGCAGCCTGCAATACCCGATTTAAAACAATAAAAAGTAGGAATTAGATATTCATGTTATTGTTTATAAACTGTTTATTTGCCTTTGCGGGTTCTCTGGGAAAATGCCTTTTCTTGCTTCCTAAAAACAAGAGAAAAATTATCAGAAGTAAAACTTTAGAAAAACGACTCTTCCACCTTTTGTTTTAAGGGTTCTTTTGTGAATCAGGCATTGTCATCTTTGCATAGAGGGTCACTTGAAAATCATTTAAATCAGTTGATTTTCAATCTACTGGTAACACAATAAGATTTACAGTATATAACGTTGCTCAAATGTGGTCTCATTGAGCAACGTTATATGCGTCTTATTGTAAATATATAGTGAGTTGTGACTATACTGAAGTTACATGTTCTATTTGTCAGATATTGCCAGCTATCTGGGTGCAGTGAACTATATTGAAGTTACATATGTTCTATTTGTTAGATATTGCCAGCAATCTGGGTGCAATGAACTATACCGAAGTTACATGTTCTATTTGTTAGATATTGCCAGCTATCTGGGTGCAATGAACTATATTGAAGATACATGTTCTATTTGTCAGATATTGCCAGCTATCCATGGGTGCAATGAACTATATTGAAGTTGCATGTTACATGTCAGATATTTCCAGCTATCTGGGTGCAATAAACTATTAAACTATACTGAAGTTGCATGTTCTATTTGTCAGATATTGCCAGCTATCTGGGTGCAATGAAAAGAGACACTAAACGAAAAGGAACTTCTAGAAACTTCGATCAAGTTGTAAGTAATCAATAATTAAATATCCCATTTATCAATCAAATGTAGATATGAAAAATATTATTTTTAATAAATCAATCAATTTGGATTAATGAATCAAATTTTCAATGAATTATTCAAATATTCAATAAATGCATTTAATATTTGCAAAAATAAATTAAATATTTAAAAATGCATCAAACATTAAAGAAACTAATAAAATATTCAAGAAATGAATTAAATATTCAAGAAATAAATTAAATACGCAATAAATTAATAGAAATATTAAAGAATTAAAATGTTTTACTAAAAATAATTTGTCCATTGGTAAATGTAACAAATTAATTATTTTATAAATAAGTTTTTAGATGAATTAAGTACTGCAGTAGCCATTAATTAAGTAGAATTTTCCATAAAAATTGTCTTAAAAGAATATTTTTTTAGCCAGAATGCTATGGATGGAGATATTTGACAGCAATTTCTGCAATTTCTCCTGGTAAATAAGTCTCAATACTATTTTTAAAACACTTCTTTCAAGTTTTTTTTTAACAAAAATTTTCTTTTTAACGAATTTGGAAAGTTTCTGCGGAAAAATACTTTTCTTTAACTTTTAAATCTTGAAATATATTCAGTTTTTAAATAGTAATCATAAGCTTCCAACGAAATTCTAAAATCGTTGCGTTGCGTTGTATGAAGACTGAAGCGCTGCAATTTGCGTAATTTTACGAGATTTGCGCTCTTAATTGCGCAAATAAACGAGCGCAATTTGGGGTCACAAATTTTATCTTAGAATTTCCCTTTATGCTCAAATAAAAACTGCACAATATACAGAACTTTCAAAAATATAATTATAAAAAGGGATTTTTTTTTATAGATAACTCCGCTGATGTGGATGTACTTACGCAGTCAGTGTCTGATATGTTGGACAACACTTTTGCTGAATTAGTTGCAGATATTCTAACTTCATGCAGTGATAGACTTGAGGTTCCAGGTAAACAAACAAACAATGAAGGAACTTGCTGGAATCAAACACTTTTGCTGAATTAGTTGCAGATATTCTAACTTCATGCAGTGATAGACTTGAGGTTCCAGGTAAACAAACAAACAAACAATGAAGGAACTTGCTGGAATCAAACACTTTTCAAGGTAGTGAATCGACGATGTCTTCCACATTAATGATTAGATAAAGGACTAGAGGGAATCGTAGAAATTACTGAAAGTCCCTTTAAGATAGCATTGTTTAGATATGTGTCCTCCTATGGAGGATTCTAAACCTGGTGAAGATGACCAGCCCCTGCTAGCCGGGCTGACCTGCAACTCAACATGTCAGCTAAACGATGACTGTGGTTTCCAGGAATTATGCTGCAGGTTAAATAATGGGTGTCCAATAAAGGATTAAACCTTAATGACAACCTAGGCAGCTCACGTTTTAAAAATCCTTCCCAATTTTTACATACAGGGTTACCCACAAATGATAAGACTTCAGAGACGACTGTGCGGAAATTATTTACTTTTTTTTCTTAAACTAACAATTACCTACATTGCATATCATTTCTTTCTTTTTAAATCATTAAATAACGCAATAAAAGGCATATTCAAGGCAGTTGGTATATTTTAACCTTGAGATCGTATCGTTATAATATAGGATTTTTATGTTTTCTTTTTCAGTTTCATCCTTTACCCTACAATTTGTTTAATTCTGTTATTCATTGGTACCTTTAGTATTTATTTTTGGTTGGGTCTTGTAGCTCTTTAGGATACAACATAGGATCAAGTTCTGTAATTGGGCTAGTTTTAGGGCTTTTAACAGGCTTATTGAGGGTCAGGGATAGTGTAAACCTACAGAATGTCCCAATAAACATAGAAATTTCGTCTTTGTTCATAATTGGGTTAATACAGAGTGTCCCACGAAACATGACAGTAGATAAATAGTTATGAATGTCGTCTTCTCTGTAATAGAAGTTTTTTTTCCACTTTCCACTCCCATATTATATTTTTATTTTTGTCTTTGGTATCAAACAACTTAAAACATTATGGAAGAAGACATTTTAAACTATTCACAAACTGTCATGTTACGTGGGACACCCTGTATATAAAATAAAACTCTTATTAAACCTCACTTAATATGAATTCTTACTCATTCCCGATGGTAAGAGGGTAAGGGGGGCGATACTTTTTACCCCAAAATTCAGTTTCCCCGTAAAAATCCTTTATTTACCCCAATTCAGCGCGGATAAAATCATAATTTTTTACTTTGCTCTTCCGCACAAACATACACAACTTATTGGGGGAAAAATGATTTTCAAAAGGGCGGGGAGGGGATTTTTCGAGAAAAAATACATCCCTATTTCCAATGTAACCGCACAATAAAAATATTTTTTCTAATTTTCTAAATTCAGACAAAGTTGTGGAGGAAACAGTTGTTTAAGTGTACTGGGTCCAAAGTACAACAAATGTGAGTTTGCTGATCAGTACATGCAGTGTGTGTACAACATGATAGATACTCAGGTACACGAGAATTTTCCTCAAAGAGACTGTATGCGTAATTTCAAGTGACCCCGTATACAAAGATGGGCATGCCCGATTTACAACATGGTACCCTTGAAACCTTTGTGTGTTTAATGATTAAGTTTGACTGTTTTTCTTGTTCTTCAAAAGCGCATGCGCACAAGAAACAAATATGAAATTATCAGAAGTAAGTTAGTAAAGTGATGTTATTACGTTTTGATTAGATTAAGGTTTTAAGGGTACCGTTGTAAATCAGACATTTCCATCCTTACAAGGAGAGTCACGTTAAATAAAAAATGTATTTAATAATTTTTTTTATTTTTTTTTATTGCAGATTTGTGCCGACAACCCTGGCCACACCATTTTCTCCAAGGTTACTTAGAACACAAATGAATCCCTGGACAACCCTGGCCACACCATTTTCTCCAAGGTTACTTAGAACACAAATGAAACCCTGGACTAACTGCAGGGATAGATATAATCGGATTCTTAAATCTAAATTTATTTGCGTTTTGATCTATGTATAATTTATAAATCTTAAAACTTACAATTCTTCTAACTATTCATTTGCCACGTCAACGGACAACAAAGTGTGCCAGAGAAAAACCGAAAAAATGATTTTAAATTCGTCAAATTTGTATCGTAAGCGATAGTTTACCCAAACCATTAATTCAATGAGATGAAACTTTTTGCTAAAACTAAATAAAGGAAGAAATTACAATCAGCCCAAAAGGGTAAATTTTAAACATTTACATTCTTTTAAATGACGATAAATAAAAACTCAAATTTGTGATATTTTTTGTATGATTAATTCATATTTATTGTATTCATTCGTATAGTGTGGATATTTTATATTTTAGAATAGAAAAAATCTATTATTCTTTTTTAGAGGGAAAGGGTTCGATCAAATATGTTCAAAAGTTGTAATTTTGAACTTAAATGTTAAATTTACTTTATATGTACTTTTGATAATTAATACATATTTTTATATTTAAAGTTGTTAAATTTGAGTATTCTAGAGATGAAAAATAAATTGGTTCGTTTTTAAGAGTTTTTGGGACGGATTCCATAAAAACCCCAAAATGGTTTATGGACATTTGCATTTTTTCCCCCATTCCGAAAACAGCATTTAGTTAAATGACAAAGTTATACTCCACCACTAATTACTATACTAGGGTCTATCTTTTTATTTAAAAAGACACTTTATTAAAAGAGTTACTTGAATTACTTCTTGGAGTCAAGACTACTGTGCATCCTTCGTGCCAGCAACAATAATTGAGTTAACCTCGGTTTTCTTTCAACCTTGAAGGAGCGGAATTAAGCAGGAGACATTAAAAAAAGTTCACGAGAATTTGTTTCAAATTGGACAAACAACGTGTAAAATTGAGGGCCATTGAATTAAGGTTGGCATTACCTGGATCAATTCCAATTTAATGAAAAACTATTCTTTCGTTTTTAAAACAAGATGAAAAAACAAAACTTTAGTTTCTGAAAACGATCTTTTTCAGGATCGATCGTTTTTTGTTTAATAAAACTATAGTTTCTCTGTTAAAAAACGACCCAGTGTCCGTTAACAACGGCTTACCAATAAACACATTTTTGGTCGAAAAACGCGAGGTTAGAAAACATTCAGGTTTTTGCGAGGATTAAAAAAAAACATTTAAGACAACATTCGAAACCTTACCTTTCATAACAAAAATTGAAATTAACACTAGATTCATAGCGAAAATTTGTTCAAAGCGAACCTTTCTTAGAGCTGTTGAGAATTATAAACCATTTAAAACGTTTGGAAATGAACGGCGGAACCTATCTTTACCAAATTAAGAATAAATCTACTTCCTAAATGCTTCACCAAGAACTGGGTGTCACCTGCCGAAATACAAGTTTTCGGGACGATTATTCTAGATCAATTCTTTATGGAATAATCGTCCCATAATACATTTTTTAAAATGTCACACCAAGCTCTGTGAATTATCCAACGGATAGATTTTTTAAAAAATCTGTTAAGAAAGATTTCACCTTAAAGTTTAAAAGTTGTCTAGGAATTATCATACATAACAGCTTCAAGAAAGGTTCCATTAGGCCTAATTAACCATAGTTGACATTCCTTTCAGCAAAATTTGTACACCGTGTACAATTAAAAAATGATAAACGTGGAAAAGCTGCAAATCAAAAATAGCCACAAAACTTACTTCGAAGTTCCTCGCTATCAACTATTTGAGCGTTAGAATTTGATGAAAAAATTACAAAATTAAAATGCATCTGTTTTCGTCGGTGAATTTATTCTCAAGATTTTACAAACTAGTTAAAATGTAAAATCTCTTTATCACAGAATAAAATACAAATATATCAAGATAGTCAAGTTGTAAAAAATCTGAACACAAAAAATACAGAATATATGATACTTGAATAAGGAGCAGTATTTTACATATTTGTTCAAATAATTTAAAAACTGCGTTTACTATTTCACAAAATGAATATTATGAGAGAATTTTCAATCATAAAATTTGCATTAACTAGAGAAAAAGTTGCAAATTGTCAGATATTAAAAGTATTTTTATCAAAGAGAAAATACTGCAGGTTCAATTTAATAAGTCAGCTGTATATTCACTGTTGCTTATTGCAATCTAGAGAGTGAAGGATGGAAACACCCAGAGCACGTCCCAGGGGTGGAGGAACAGCGTTTCCTATCTAAATATATAATAAACAAATAATTTTTGGAGTTTTTTCCAGGGGCGGATATTCACTCGAAAAACTATTTATCTAGCCCACCATTTGAAACTTAATTATTCCTCCGTAAGTAAGGGGGTTTTTTTTTTTTTTTTTTGGGGGGGGGGAGGGGGTTATGGTTACGGATTTTTTTTTGCCGATTTGGGGAAAATAAATGATTTAAGGAATCGTTGGTTAATAAGTATCAAAAATGAAAATAAGTTGCCAATTTTTCAGTCCGCCCCCCCCCTCAAATCATAAAAATCATGGAACAGCGTATGATCAATATTTTACCTGTCTGTGCTTCTCTAAAACAGACCCGTAGAATCTGTAGGTGTCAGGAAATCCTTGAGACCTTCAATCAATCAATCAATCAATCAATCAATCAATCAATCGCATTAATGTTCCACAGATTAAAGCTTGATGCATTTAAAAACTGTGACTTTTCATTTTTCAACGTCAGAAAATATATTTCTCCGGAAACCAACAAATGACAAAAAAATTAATTTCATTCCTTGAAAGAGTGTGAATTTTCTTAAAATAGTAAAAAAATTATATTTTAATAAATCAAGATTAAATTTTTAAAACCGGCATTACCTAAAGTTTTCTATAAAAACATAAAACCATTCAACTTAACCAGCCTAAATTCTCGTGATTCTACCGAGTTTCCCAACCGAAAGAGTTACTGAGTTATAACTTGACAACCAACCCACCACAACCAACCTACCAAACCAACCAACCCCACTTTATAAATGAATAGATCACCTGGCGCACTCTCGAACTGAAACCAATCTGTTTTGATCTGGATGAAGCACTCGCCCTTGTTTCCCCATGGGCTCCGGGTTTGTGATGGTTGTGGAGAAAAAACCGTCCCACTCGACTCTGCCGTAGAGTCCGGCCCAGTTGTTGTGCCGGTTAGCGGTGTGGGGCAGACACCAGGGAATCAACGTGTTCTAAATAAATACAAGTTTTGTATTCATCTAACATCTAAGAGCAATCCAATTCAATCCAATCCATTCCAAACATCTAAGAGCAATCCAATCCAAACATCTAAGAGCAATCCAATCCAAACATCTAAGAGCGATCCGATCCGATCCGATCCGATCCGATCCGATCCAATCCGATCCGATCCAATCCGATCCAATCCAATCCAATCCAATCCAATCCAATCCAATCCAATCCAATCCAATCCATCTTCTACTTCACAGATTATTTTGATTATTATTATGGCGAAGATCCCAAGATTTAACAGTTGTTCAAAACTAAGAAGGCCTTGAAAAGTTGGATTTGTGACGTTTATCGCGACTCTAAGGACGAAGTCACGGAGGCTTACAACCTTGAAGACAACAAATCCCAACCGACAACCGGGAATAGGCAAAAGAAATCCCTTTATTAAATATCTATTAGCTCGTTATTGTTTCCCCACCTGTTGGTTATCCTTAGGATCGCATTTTCCCCCCGCCATACAAGGACACACTCCTCGTAGACTTCCACTAGAGCTCCTGAACAATATAACAGTTCAAAAAATAAATCGGGGTCCAAAAAAGTTCATTGTTATATGACTTGTTTTATCTGTTTATGGGTATTATTTAAGTGCGAAAAAGTTGTTACCGGAAATATTAGATTTGATCAATTTCTTTAAAATTAAATAAAAAATTTAGGAGGGGGGGGGGGACAGAATACCACTCCCCCCTTTCGAACTTAATATTCAGTTCAATTTTTTTCTAATAACCGTTAGTGTTCCCTTTAACTTACTTTCCGTTTTTAATATCTTCGTAGAAATAGTGTAGTTTCTTGCTCATCTTCCCATCACTCAATTCCACAATCTACCATGTCAAATTTTAAAATACTAGAATCTTCTATATAAATTGTGAACATGTTCTCTTGCTAACAACAAAAAAAGTTCGCGGATTTTCAAAATTTAATGAAAATAGGATTTTTTGGAGGTTAATGTTTGAAATTTTAATGATCCATAAACCTTCCCTGAGGTCATGCGAGGTCCCACACAAAATTGGGGCCCGATCGGTTCAGCCGTTTTGACGTTTATTAGATACAACCCGAAAGACAAATAAACGGGCACCCAGACAGACAGACAAGCAGAGTATTTATATATAGATTGAACCTACATAATAACTTTTAAATTGTGGCTCTATCTGTAAGCATATTCTCTTTGGAAATGGCAGGACAAGAGCTATTGTGATAATCGCGTCATCAATCATATTTGTAAAATAGATTGTGGTCTGATTGATTGCAAATTAATTCCAGGTCTTTCAGTTTTGAACTATAGGTAGACTAAGTGAAAATAATGAAGAAAAAACATGTTTTTGTGATATTTATATTTTCATGTAATATTCGATTTCATTTCATTCCAACTTGAAACAGAGAAAATGTTTAAATGGTACCGCGACCATGCCACTTATTAAATAGATTTACTTGAAATCCAAATATTGTAGTAAAGACTAAAGAAATTAATCAAAATGACTTTAAAATGTCATATTACATAAATTTTCATTACACCGGTCTAATGGTAATAAATTACAAAAAACATATTTTTTTGCCCAACAACTAATTTAATTTTCCCAATTCAGCAATCCTCACTCTGAATCCCCCCAGTCCCCCCTTAAATACTGGGAATATGAAAAAAGTAATTTAGTAATAGAGAAGCTGATGAGGGTATTAAAAAAGTGTTACCTTGTTTGGAAGATCCCTCCAGTCACTGCCTGGAGTGGTAGGAATATATTCGAACCTCTTCACGATCAGAGGAGCCAATTTCTTGGTTATATGGTCGTAAAGTTCGTCACCAGAGTTCCTTCAAGGGTTAAACATTTAGCATAGTTTGGGATAAATCGGTCAAGGTGTTTCTGAGTTATGATAGGACATCAAAACAAACAAAATTACTAACTTATGAGTTATCCAGGATCCGGATCAAAATTAAATGGATCCTAAGCACTAACAAGACAAAGAAAGTCCTGCGCTACGAGCTGAACTATTCGCACAAAAAACAAGCAGGAAGAAAGCTTATTCCACCTCAGAAGATTTTTTTCAGGCAGTGCCAAGGCTGCCAGAGAGGTGACTAAGATTTCATTTTTTGTTGCAACATGCAATTTGGGAAAAATATTGTATACGGTTCAAAAAATTAAAACAGAAGGAACAGATTGAATCCTTGAAACTGCTGCTGTGTTTGACTTTAACCCAGAAAATTTCCTTAATTTCTACGACCAATGATATTTCTAATTTTCGGTATTTTGGTATCAAATCTTGTATTACCCTACTTTAAAGATGCCTAAAATGACGGAACTAAAATGCTAAGCAAAAAAACTGAAATTGCGAAGTGCACAACTAGGGGGGTTTGAACGTTAAATTATACAACTATGGATTACACAGACGGAGCAGAAATTAGGTTTAAGATGACTGTACAGTGTATACGAACTTTTAAAAGACTGAGAACTCTCCATTCATAGAGAGGCATTTCTAATTCACATCAGTACATTAAAAGTTGATAAAATAAAATATTTTTAATCAAGAAAAGCAATGGTGTTTATCGGACATTTCCTTCTTTAAATGGAGGGTTACCTAAAAATACGACAGTTCCTTTAATATGTGATAGTTCACCTTATATACTTCTGGAAATGTGACTTCGGGTTTCCACCGTACTTCATCACTTCCCTAGACTCTCCATTATTAATCTGTTACATTCAACCATTGAATAATAAATCAAAATAAATTCTTACAAGAATGAAATAATCAAATCAAATCAAATCAAATCAAATCAAATCAAATCAAATCAAATCAAATCAAATCAAATCAAATCAAATCAAATCAAATCAAATCAAATCAGGTTTTAAGCCAGGATCTAATTTTAATTTTGACATTTGCCATAAAAAATTATAATGATTATTTTTGATGAACGTTACGATCCCAGCAATGCAACCATTTTTAGATCCCTTTATTCAATCCCTTCATGATAAATATGAATGAAGGGGAGCTCTGCTATACATTCCGAAGAATAGAAAGTAGAGACAATTTTCAACGATCATAAAAATGAAAGTTAATTGTCGAAAGACACTACGATATTGCTACAAATTGATTAATTAATTGATTGGTTGTATTCCTTGGGAAGATCTGACATAGTATCCCAGACAGTGACAGTTCTCCTGGGAGCGCTCTTCACCCATCTAAACATAAATCCCATCAAATAAACTCTAGATTATTTGATTTTGATGTCTATTTGGATCCAAACCAGATTAATATTGTGTAAAAAATATCGACATTTAGAGATCCCAAAAGTTAAGGCTTACGGCGTGTCCTAAAAGTTTAATAAAGGCCGATATTTTTACATTCTGCTTCCAATTGTAGTCGGAGGTATGAGTTTAGGTTAGCCCATGTTTTGTATGTTTGATTTAAATATGAAAATTAGTCTAAGCAAAAAATATAGGGTTAGTGTTGATGTGGGTTGGTAAAATGTTATGGATAACAATAGCCAAAGAACACTAATTTTCTTTATGATCCATGTAGACTGTAGAATGTATATGACCACAATTGGAGGCTACATGAAAAATGTCTATATATCTTGAGGACCCCATACACAACATGTCTAATATCACAACGAATAAATCGTTTCTAAAAATCCCCCCCACCCCCCAAAAAATTGGTAATTTGATTTTCCCTCTGACAGAAAATTTAATTCAAGGGAAAGCTAAACATTAATAAACCTGGTTTGAGAGTTGTATCTCCTTCCATCAACCTCTACAGACAGGTGGCAAGCCTGGGGGCTGAACACGTGTTCAGGTTCAGGATATCGCGGTAGTACCTAGAAGTACAAAATATACCTCAACATGAAAAATATATAGGCTATAAAAAAGTGTAAAAGAAATCAGAAATATTTTCATTTTGCGGGTGAAACGTGATACAAAATTAGGAGTTACTGAATTTCAACTAGGAGTTAGGACCCGTAGTTACGTTAAATCAAGCACCAGCCCCCCTCCCCGGCCCGGAAGGTACGACAGAAAGAACCAGAATTGACCCTGCTATCTATACTAAGAATGAGCTTAAGCGGGTAATAACAAGGATATATGAAACTTCTTCATGAATTCGATTGGAATCATGGAAGTGAGTGTCAAATCATGAAAGTGAGGGTCAAATTATGGAAGTGAGTGTCAAATTATGGAAGTGAGTGTCAAATCATGGAAGTGAGTATCAAATCATGGAAGAGAGTGTCAAATCATGGAAGTGAGTGTCAAATTATGGAAGTGAGTGTCAAATCATGGAAGTGAGTGTCAAATCATGGAAGTGAGTGTCAAATCATGGAAGCGAGTGTCAAATCATGGAAGCGAGTGTCAAATCATGGAAGTGAGTTTCAAATTATGGAAGAGCGAGACAAATTACAATCATAACAGGAGGTTCATATCAAAATTGTGTGGATTGTGTAACTTTTATACGGGAGTGATGTCTAACTTCATTCGTGGTTTTAGGGTTGCCTAATAAATAAATAAATACTATTTATTGCAGTTTTTGGTGACTGAATACTGTCAAGTTTTTTTTGGGTGTACAAAATTCCTCCAGATCAATCCTAGGTAAAATCATGAAGTACACAGAACTAGAGTTAACCCACCTGTCCTGGGGCTGCTGCAAGGATGATTGCTCTTCTCCTTGTCTGCGCAATACCAAACTGACCAGCCTGCATGATCCCAAAGGTGCACTTAAACAGAACTCAAAATATTAATCATGACAAACAGATCTATAATTTTATAATAATATTATAACGTATCTTGAAAATTTATGAAAAAATGCAGTTTAAAAATTCATGAAAACAAACATTTTATCAACTAGAAAATGAAGAGACAACTGTTTCCCCACTGTTAATGAAGTATTTAAGTTTGAAAAGTGCCAAGCGCCGCTAAGAACCAAGAATTCTCGAGCATTTCAAATAATTTTAAAAGAAATGTTTATTAATTTCCGATGATCTGGAAAAAATTCAAAATCTGACACCGTACCATTTTAAGCATTTTTTTGTACAAAAATAAAAACTAATATTTTGTGAACAAAACATGAAGGGAGGGACGATTTAAACAAAGAATACATACCCCGTTCTTATGCCTCTTTAAACAATTAATAACAACCCATTTATTTGTGTACCAGCTTGGGAACCCAGCACTGCCAAGGTTATTCAAAGTAACTCCGGCGTTTACCCGCCCTTGGTTTTATACCGGGAAACCAAATTTTTTGCTGTGAACCCATTCAACTAAGAATCTTTAAAGAAAGCTATGAACATTCCCGTGGGTATCCCAATTTCCTCAATAAAATTTGAAGGCAAATCGGTCCAAGGGTCTTGAGTTATGGTCGGAAAAACAAACAAACAAACAAACAAACGAACGAACGAACAAACAAGCAGAGATTAAGTTTTAAATAAATAGATATTACCTGATAGCCCATCTTAACCAGAGCACGGAGGCAGGATTTCATGACCATACTCTTCTTGAAGTTGGCAAAGTTCTTTACGTTCTCCAGAATAAAGAACTTCGGTCTGAGAACAAAACATTAAGAATAAAAAATAACCTAACACCGACTTATGAAATCATGCACTGAGTTATCCCTTTTTATTCTCCAAAAATAAATCAAGATCTTAGGATCTTATTGAAGCGTGTTGGGGTAAAAAGCGGACCCGGATCAATAAACGAAAAAAAGGAATACCGCATCCATCTGGACCCGCCGCAACAGTCCACATTTTACGCATAGTGCTAGTCTTCTGTACTACCCAATAATACAACTAAATCTTAGTATTTAGGTTGTTAATTACCTGTAATATTCTGCATAGGATAAATAACTGGAGACCAAGGAGTTTTTGAACAACGAATATTCCCCAGCATTGAACCGATTCATTCCAGAAAATCCTTGGCAGGGGGGTCCACCACATAGTAAATCCACTTCTCCTAAATATATATACAATATTAACCCTTGGCAGGGGGGTCCACCNTAGTACAAGTAGTACAAGTAGTACAAGTAGTACAAGTAGTACAAGTAGTACAAGTAGTACAAGTAGTACAAGTAGTACAAGTAGTACAAGTAGTACAAGTAGTACAAGTAGTACAAGTAGTACAAGTAGTACAAGTAGTACAAGTAGTACAAGTAGTACAAGTAGTACAAGTAGTACAAGTAGTACAAGTAGTACAAGTAGTACAAGTAGTACAAGTAGTACAAGTAGTACAAGTAGTACAAGTAGTACAAGTAGTACAAGTAGTACAAGTAGTACAAGTAGTACAAGTAGTACAAGTAGTACAAGTAGTACAAGTAGTACAAGTAGTACAAGTAGTACAAGTAGTACAAGTAGTACAAGTAGTACAAGTAGTACAAGTAGTACAAGTAGTACAAGTAGTACAAGTAGTACAAGTAGTACAAGTAGTACAAGTAGTACAAGTAGTACAAGTAGTACAAGTAGTACAAGTAGTACAAGTAGTACAAGTAGTACAAGTAGTACAAGTAGTACAAGTAGTACAAGTAGTACAAGTAGTACAAGTAGTACAAGTAGTACAAGTAGTACAAGTAGTACAAGTAGTACAAGTAGTACAAGTAGTACAAGTAGTACAAGTAGTACAAGTAGTACAAGTAGTACAAGTAGTACAAGTAGTACAAGTAGTACAAGTAGTACAAGTAGTACAAGTAGTACAAGTAGTACAAGTAGTACAAGTAGTACAAGTAGTACAAGTAGTACAAGTAGTACAAGTAGTACAAGTAGTGCAAGCAGTACATGTAGTACAAGTACAAGACTGAATGCCTCGGTATAGAAGAGACAATCTTATTCTTAAGATCGGGGGTTTTGGGGCTTAGTACAGCAAGGGTGTATTTTAGTTCCTTAACTCATATTTTTTTGCAGGGTTACGCAGGCCGTGGAAACTTAAAGTTTGCTAGAAAATTCCCTTTTTCCATTTTCCATTTTCCATTCTCTCTTCCCAATTTTCCCCTCTTTTCCTTTTTTCTCCCTCCCCAAACCCGTATGGAGCTCATTAAACATTCAAAACATATTTTTAGTATTTATTAAATACCTTGTTGTTCAGCTTGAAGGCTTTTGCAGCAGGTTCGAACACTTCAACAGCCCAATGGGTCTCCGCTACTCCAGAATCATGCAGACCCTGGCTTAATCCTCCACATCCAGCAAATATATCCAGGCTTCTTAGCTTCCTAAATATCCAGCAAATATATCCAGACTTCTTAGCTTCCTAAATATCCAGCAAATATATCTAGACTTCTTGGCTTCCTAAATATCCAGCAAATATATCCAGGCTTCTTAGCTTCCTAAATATCCAGCAAATATAATCAGGCTTCTTAGCTTCCTAAATATCCAGCAAATATATCAGGCTTCATAACTTCCTAAATATCCAGCAAATATAATCAGACTTGTTAGCTTCCTAAATATCCAGCAAATATATCCAGGCTTCTTAGCTTCCTAAATATCCAGCAAATATATCCAGACTTCAAACCTTTCTCCACATCCAGCAAATATATCCAGACTTCTTAGCTTCCTAAATATCCAGCAAATATATCCAGACTTCTTGGCTTCCTAAATATCCAGCAAATATATCCAGGCTTCTTAGCTTCCTAAATATCCAGCAAATATAATCAGGCTTCTTAGCTTCCTAAATATCCAGCAAATATATCCAGACTTCTTAGCTTCCTAAATATCCAGCAAATATATCCAGACTTCATAACTTCCTAAATATCCAGCAAATATATCCAGGCATCATAACTTCCTAAATATCCAGCAAATATATCCAGACTTCATAACTTCCTAAATATCCAGCAAATATATCCAGACTTCTTAGCTTCCTAAATATCCAGCAAATATAATCAGACTTGTTAGCTTCCTAAATATCCAGCAAATATATCCAGACTTGTTAGCTTCCTAAATATCCATCAAATATATCCAGAGCTGAAAACTTTAGAATGGTGGATATCAGGATTAATGCTTAATCAACTCTTTTTCTTAATCTCCAGATTAAATATTGCTTATAATCCTCATGAACTTAATCTCCAGATTAATTAACAGATCGGGATTAAGGATATCTCATTCTAAAGTTTTCAGCTTAGACTTCATAACTTCCTAAATATACAGCAAATATTTCTAGACTTCTTGGCTTCCTAAATATCCAGCAAATATATCCAGACTTCTTAGCTTCCTAAATATCCAGTATCCAAACACCCCTGAAACTTCTAGACTCAAAATATGATATTCCTTTGAACATGAAACTCAGTAATTGTGCAGTGTACAAAGATCCATTTACCAATAATAATTTTATTTCAAGCTACTGGTAAATTAAATTATTAATTTTCAAGCTACTGGTAAATTAAATTATTAATTTTTTATTTTAAGCCCTTTTGTAGAATAAACGACTTTATGCGTAACAAATAGGGTTTCCATTCCTCAGGGAAAAAATTCTATTTTGAAAATGGAATAATCCGAAATTTTTTCCGTAAAGCGGACCGGGATAATTCTGGTTTACGTCACGTGCACTGTTAAAATTCCGGTTCACATTCCGTAAAACGGAAAATCAAAAGGATCAGAATTGTCTTACTTTTTAACTTGAGGATAGCTGGGAATCAGGTGATCTGCGGGGTCTGAACCGAATTCTTTAGCTTCAGCAGGTAGAGAGTCAATAGTTTTCGATCCAGAATTAAACATGTTCCTGTCAATATTTAACAAGGTTTTAATTGGTTTTAATGAGTCGAATTATAGAAATGAATATTTCCTATCCAAGAGATTGAAATAGAGATTGAAATATTTTTTTTCTAAAGTAGTTCTATATACTTTAATGTATTCATTAAATATGTAATGGAATGCACGATTCACAACAGTATACTTTAAACCTTTTCTGATCCAAGAATCTTTCGAGTTGATAATTAATTACTTTCTAATAGAACTAGCTGAAGTGACCGGCGTTGCACGTGGATTTAAAAGAATAAATAAATTCGAGTTTTGAAAAAAATGTTGAATCTTTTTTAGCCTTTGTTACTCCCCGGGCCGTGGGCACTCTTGGGTTCCCTCAACAAATTTCAGCCCATTCGGTCCAGCCGTTAGGCCAGCTATAGCTAACACGTATATAAATATATATGAGCGAAGAGCTTATCAAATAGATAAATAGAATAAATAAATGATTCTTTTACCTGAAAACCCATCTATCTGGACCCTTCTCACACCACTCAGTAACTTCCTCATACTCATCTTCTCCACATCTTAGCAAAAAAGAGACAGCGTTAATTTTGGCAAAAAAAATATTATTTTATATAATGGGAGCCATTAAACTGTGAAATAGAAAAACGACCTTTAGATGATTTTAAATGGTCGGTTAACTATTAAATATGAAATTTTTGAAGTACACTGTGAACCCAGATTGAAATCCCAGATACACCCCAGACCTTCAAGAAGCACGGCATCGTCAAGAAAGTCTTAAGTTTGAATTTTATAGAGGGGGGGAGGGGGATATGTGAGAACTGAGCTGAAAACTTTAGAATGAAATATCCTTGATCCCGATTACTTTATCTGAGTATACAATGGACACACTTTTGATTTTCTTCTTAAACCGTTCTTTCTTGGATATAGAAGAGAAAAATCAAAAACCGGTTTTTAAATTTAGAGAGTTCTTCCCGTTTCTGTAAATCTTAAATAAATCTTAAATGGCGCGCAAAATTTAAAATTTATCGTCTTCATATACTCGACTCTTGATTGGTTGAATTTTATACACTTTTTAGGATACAAGTACAAGACTAGGTTAGTCTCGATATAAGGAAAAAGAGGATCAAGCATTAATCTCGATATCCACCATTCTAAAGTTTTCAACTCTGATCATTAATCTGTACCTTAAATAGCATCTACCCTCAATATCGGAACCTGCCACCCAGTCTGAATCTTCGCTCCAGTACAACAGGAACATGTTGTCCTCCTCCTTATCCTTAGAATAGGGCAATATATTTTACAGTGCTTAGGATCCGGATCCCGTGGATCCGCAAGATTTTAGCGTTCTCGATCCTGTTTCGCAAAATTATGGGGATCTACGAAACCGGCCGAATCCAAGATGCAAAATATCAATCAAAAACTGCAAAACAAACTTTTTTCCCTTAAAACCAAATCTGAACTGTAGAAAAAGAGAGAATATAAAATTTTCCTGAATCTGAATGGCTGATTGAGCATACATATAAGCGGAAAAAAGAAGAAAAATTATTTTACAAATTTGCATTGATGGTTTTTTTAAAATATATAACCCTGCCTTGGATTTGACGATGTTTTCGGGTCTGTAGAATAATCCAACCTTCAGCTTGATCTCCTTTCCTTCAGCCTTCATAAATAAATAAATAGATGAAAAAAATAATACAAAACACAGGGGTTAAAATTAATTACTGAACAAGCTTATATTGTAGATAAAATTTAAAGAGCAAATACAACACATAATAAGAAACTTATCAAAAACCATATTCCCACAAAGCCTTACAAAGTTCATATATAAAACTTATCAAAACAAACCATATTCCCACAAAGCCTTACAAAAGAAAGTTCATATGTAAAACTTATCAAAACAAAACACTTCAGCCACATATCGCAATGGTATTTGGGAATATCTTTTATTTTGTACCTATGTATTTAATTTACATTAGAACAGTGTAACTTGTAAAGATGCTAGTGATATGCCATGCTACACTACCCCTCCCACCCCCGAAAAAAAAGCAAAACAAATCACTGGTAAAACTTAGAGCAGCAGAACTAAGAAAATGAATCAAATATTTCTGAAAAAAATTTAGTGAAATTCTATAAACATAAATATTTATCATTAGTCAAGGCAATTAAATAATGCTACCTTAAACTTAAGTATTCTTGCAACAATAAACGGATCCGGAGTGTTGAAGTTGTTCCCCTTCACGTGATCAGTCTTCCTGTAGTACTCAGGATACAAATCCTCGTCTACGTTTTCCTTCTTGAACGTCTCCTATACAATTAAATAATGAAAATAATATTGATACTTCAGTGATAGAGTGGAGTGTTAAATTAACAACGGTACACGTCAAATCTTTGTCTGCTCAATCAAGTATACATTTGTTAACTGATTTATTTTCATTTCTGATTTCTCTTGCGTCACAACGGAGAAATAATCAGAATCTTCAACTCTATTGATCTAATATAGTTTAGAATGGTACCGTTGTGAATCACCCATGGCTTAAAATGCCGTTTATCTGTACACAATAGAGAAACCTCTTTTTTTACCTTTTCAAGTTTAGCAGGTTTAGTTTTCATCTTTACAGATCCAGGACTCAAGTAAACCGTGTCCCCTACCTATAAACATATTAATGTAAAAAAGAAAATAACATAATAGTTTATTTTAAACTAGCGAAAGTGCCCGGCGTTTCCCGTGGATATATTTTTTTAAATCAAATTTAAAAAAAATAAATTCAAAGAAAAAAATATCGATCCTTTTAGCTTTTGTTTACCCATGGGTATTTCACCCAATTTGGTCTAGCCGTTTGGCCAGCTATAGCCGACATATCTATATGAGCGAAGAGCTTTATATTATAAAAGTTCAGGGGATAGGGGTTGTGTACGCATTCTACTGTGACGTATTACGACTGCTCTGAACTTAAATCAAAACAATAACAAATATTGTAAACAGAAGGTCAGACGTTCAGGCTTACTGGCCCAACCAGTCGGATTTAATGAAGGCGACAAATCAAAAAAGATGAAAGGGGCATAATATTTTAATATTGTAATATTATAATATTACAATATTATTTTATAATATTGAAATATTAAAATATTTTCTTGGAAACTTATCAAAGAAGAGAAAAACATGACAATTGCTGTCCAATTTAATTAAAGAAAAAAAACTGAGACCGTATTGAAAGAATTTGAACCGCGTCGCTGAACCGATTCCAATTGAGCGCAGGTTCAAATATCGAAGCATCTAGACGCGGTTCAAATTCTTTATATTCAGCCTCTGGATACTCCTGAAAGGTTACCTTGAGCTCTGCCTGATCCCAGGTTACACTGGTGATCTCTGATCCCGATTTAGTCTTAGTTTGCGGAATAAATCGTTTCTCTTTCTCCTTTTTCAGGAGACAGATCTCACAATCTTCTCCAGAGACACTGGTTTTACCCGTCTCTTCAGAATACTCGAACCTGGAGAGATTTGTCATCAAATGAGAAGTACCATTCAATCACAACAGAAATCTTAACCGTATTTACCCGGAGGGGGGGGGGGGGGCTGTAAATTTACACCCACCCCAGCTAGGAAGCTCAAATTTTCTGACTTTTATAACTAATACATGGCCATCACTTAAGCTAGGCTTTTATACCCACTGCCTGAATACTGCCTAAATGCCTTATTTTACCAATACAAGACGAAATCTATATTTAGATCTACTTTCAGTTATTGGATTTCAACATTTTAAAGCTCTTTGGAGGGCCTATAATAAAAGCAACCAGATTGCACAATTTTTGCTAAGAAATTTTGTACAGATGCCTTCAAAGGGAATTTGCGCATTTTCAATTTTTCTTGAATACACATTTAGGTTTTAAAAAGTTTGCAACTGTATTTGCATATTTGATTTCGCTGGGTCAAGGGCTTTTCAAAAATGTTGCAATTTGCGAATTTTTTGTACATTTTTTGCTTAATAACTAGATTTCGCAATAAATCTTTGGATTTTTGCAAGTTTTCCATTTTTGCAGAATATTGAAGTAGAGCCAAAGGGCATTCCAAAATCGTATCAAATACTTTATATTTGCATCAAAATAAGAAAATAGAAGGGGGGGGGGGCAAAT